GACATACAGAGCTGCGGTCTGGCAGCAATCCTGAGCAATCCTGATGGCACAGACAGCTTGGAGATTCCTGAGTAGGTAGGACTTAAGAATTAACCTAAAAATCAGCCCTGCTAGCCAGGGACTGCACGGAGGACTGTGCACGGTGGCTGGGGAATAAATGGAGAAGGTGAAGAGAAAGGCGGGCTGAGCTGTGAACTTTTGCCGGTCCGGAGGATGCCGCCATTTTGAAGGTCTAAAAGCAGCTTGACTATTTTGGATATTTAAAGAGACAGTGCTCTCACAGATTCCTGGGGCTTAAGAACACGTTCTGCTTTTCAGCAACCCCAAGGACCCTCCGGACCTGCAAGACTGAAAAGGTACCACATTCCTCTTGTTACTCTTATACCCCACACCTGCTTGGTGAACGGAGGTGCGGCCATCCCCCACTCACACCTACTTTCTGGGACCACAGGAACTCCATCACAGTCTGTGTGCTCAGACAGAGCCTGGGTGCCCTGCCCTGTCCTCAACCGATATTTTTTTCCTCTTCTTCTTCTTCTTTCTCTTTTTTTTTTATGTTTTTCTTTTTTGCTTTCTTTTTCTGGTGATTAGTTTGCTTGTATTTGTCTGTTTTAAAACAACTATTATTATTAATATTTTTGTCCTTTTCACTATTATTCTTAATCTTCCCCTCCCAGGTCCTAGTTTTCAGCATTTTTTCTTTTCCTTGTTCCTGGTTAACTTTTTTTTTTTTTTTAATTTAAGGTTTTGGGGGTTTTTTTCCCCCTTTTTTCTCATGGTTAACCCCATTCCTTATCTTTCTTTTAGCATTTTCCCCATTCTTTTTTCCTTCATTATTATCCTTCTCTACTTTTTTTCTCTTAATGCCCTATGCCTAGATATTGCAGGTTTTCTTGATTTTTCTTCTTCTTTTTCCCTTTTTTCTTTTTTTAGTTACTGTTCCTGTGTGATTACATGGCATGTTTTTTGTCCATGTGCTTTTAGTTTTTTGAAGGTTGTTCAATTGTAATTTGTGTCTAATTGAGTGGGAGACAACAACAGTCCCCATAAGACACAACTATACCCACACCTCCTGCAACTTCACTTACTGAGCGAAAGCCACTACCTCCTTCTCCACCAACGGGCCAACGATAAAAAACCACCAAGAAGAGCCGGAATCACCCGACCGCTCTTCACAAACAGTTAACAGAGATCTAAATACAACAACGCCACGATGCCTCGGAGACGAAAGACCATCGCAGTCCACACAAAGAAGCAGGATAAAGTGGTAGAAACAAGGGAGCAGGAT